AAAAGATTGGTGTCACATAGCACTGTTTATGTTGTAGGAAGGGTAATTTGACTCTTCATGTTTGATTTCTTAAATAATTAGTAGAAATTATCTTGGCTGCGAATTCTGTGATATTTTTCTCTTATATACTTTTTTGTTTGTTTGTTTGAGTTGGGGGTCTCAGTTACCCAGGCCAGAATGCAGTGGTGCAATCCTGACTCACTGCAGCCTCTATCTCCTGGGCTCAGGTGATCCTTCTGTCTCAGCCTCTCGAGTAGCTGGGACTACAGGCATGCACCATCATGCCCAGCTGATTTTTTATTTTTTGTAGTAATGATATCTCGCCATGTTGCCCAGACTGGTTTTTAAGTCCTAGACTAAAGCAATTCTCCTGCCTCATCTTCTCAAAGTGCTGGGATTACAAGTGTGAGCTGTAATCTACACCCACCCTCTATTAACTTTTTAACTTCGTATTTTGAAATTTTAAAAATATGTTGACTAAAAGAGGGAGCCCAGTTCTCTACTCAGATATATTCATAGATGAGTCACCCATTTTGATGGTGATCCTTAATAGTCATAATTAAAGCACTGACTCTACTTAGTAAAATCCAGGAAGTATGAGGTACATGTAGTAACAGAACAGTAATTTAGATGTGGTGAAGTTCTTCTCTATTAGATGGCAACATGTGCCCTTGACAGAATCATTCATTCATTGAGCACTGTGCCAGATGCTAGGAGTGCAAAAATAAATAAGACACTGCTATTCTTAGAGAACTAAGTCTCTGGGAGAAAAAAATGTGTTAATCAAATGGATGCAACAGCGCAATACTTAAATAGGGTTTATGCACTATAGGGCAGGGGTCCAAGGGAGTGGTGAATTTTACTTGGGTTGGCCAGGGAAGGCTTCCGGAGGTGCTTATTAAGCGAGTCGTAGGAGCTATGCAGGAGATCCTCTGGTGGACAAGGTAGAAAAGCGGGTGTGCAAAGGCAAGGGGCATGATACCGGCCATGCCGGCAGCTCACAGATGTCTGGGGAGAAAAGGGTAGAACAGGAATGAAGGTGAAGTGTCGGTCCTGGCACGAAGAAGTCAGATCATTCAGAGTCCAGTATGAGAAGCAAAAATACTTGGCCTTATCTGTAGGCAATGGGGAGCCACTGAAAGATTTTAAGCAAGGTGATATTTCAAAAGACACAACTTTTGTGGCAATATGGAAGATGAACTTAAAGAAGATAAGAACCTTGCAGTAAGATTGGTTAAAGCGGGAGGATGACTTGAGTCCAGGAGTCTGAGTCCAACATAGTGAGACTTCCATCTTGAAAAGACAAGACTGGGGGTAGGGGGCATTTGGGCAGCTGTTGAGGAAACACAAGACCAGATGGATTGGAGAGAGAATTAAGAGGCTATGTCGACTAGGTGGAAGAGAAAAAGGGAGGATGTCCCTTGAGTTATGAAGTTTATGGGAATACAGGAGTAAGACTAGGGTTGGAAGGAGGAATATTGATATATTTGGCTAAGGACCTGATGAGTTTTAAGTTTCTGTGAAAAGGGAGGGCACTGAGAATAATTCTGAGCTGCAAATGACGGCTTGAAATTTTCCTGCATATACCTAAGGGGTTCATGTAGTTAAAGCTTTGGAAGTATAAGAAATCATCTACTGCATTTGACTATAAAACTTAATTAAAATTCAACACTATCAAAAATTCAGTTCCTTTCTCCAAGTCACATTTCAAGTGCTTAAAAACCACACATGGCTAGTGCCTACCATATTGGGCAGTATGTACAGCAAACATTTCCATAATCGTGGGACATTCTATTGGACACTGTCAGAAGGTGAGTATTGATCCAAAGAGAGAAGGGAGGGTGCATGGCCCTTCCAAGAAAACCGAGTTTTAAAACAGTGAAAGCCAAACCCAAAGTCAAGGTAGGAGAGACAGCAGGAGCTCAGGCATATGGGGGATACTTTACCTCTTCAGGTGTGATACTGACAGAGGTTCTGGTTATACTGAATGCCTTCCACAAGCTGCATATTGTCATGGGTGGTTTCCATGCCATCTACCTGAAATCATACTGTTCTCTGAGAGAAGGGACTCTGACTCCAATTTGCTACATTTCTTCTCTAACTTCACTTCCTTGTCAGAGGATGTAATATAATTCTTTAAACATAACCCAAGACAATGTGCATAAAATCTTCTTAAAGCTGAAAAAGTGGCTTAATGTAATCCAGGTTTCTGTTCTGTGTCAGGCTTGGTGCTAAGTGCTCTGTTAGTTTATTTAGTCATTTCTGTGATCCTCAATTGATAACAGATGAAAGAGGTTTGAAAACTTGCTAGTGTTTCACAGATCGTCACAGGGCGCTCCTGAATCCAACCTCAAACTAGTCTGATTCCAGAGTATTTGCTCATAACTCCCACCTTCCAAAGAGGCCTCCTTAAGCAAAATCCTTAAGGCACATTGCAGAAGACGACTTACCATAACTACCCTACCGAGGAGAATGTTGACCTCTGAGAAACAGTATGTACTAGAGAAAAGCTGTTCCTCCAAAGATGCTCAATTAGACTAGTGTTGTATTAGTGAAACAGAACACCAATGTTTGCAGAGGACCCAAGTGAGCACCTCATTTGATGGCATGTGACTCTTCAGGGGTTTCCACCTGAGGGTAGGTCATGTCCAATATCTTGAAATCCTGGAGCCCAAACTTAAACTAATGAAATTGGGAAGATTAAATTAGCAATGGAATTCAAGTCCACTGAAGTATCTTATAGGAATGTGTTGTGAAAGACATGTTTTATTTGCACATCACTACTTTTCATTATAATAAGATGGGAGACCCCCAAAATCTCAGAATTTATTTTAAAAATTGCATATTCTTATATGTTTAAACCTCAAAGTTGCCTTCAAAGTACCCTCCATTTGATGCAATGTCCATCAAGACGATCTTTCCACTGCTCAAGTCTCTGAACTCATCAATTTGGATGCCTTTTAGTGCTTTTGCCATTTTTTGTTTCACCTCTTCCACATCGGCAAAATGTTTCCCTTTGAGGACTTTTTCACCCAGGGAAACATAAAAAAGTCACTCAGGGAGAGATCAGGTGACTAGGGAAGGTAGGGTCCAGGGGTCATGGCATTTTTTGTCAAAAATTGCTCAACACTCAGAATGGTGCGGGCAGATTGTTCGTGTAAATCACACAACATGAAATGGGCAAACGCACTGAAAGAACCTCTACAAAAAAAAAAGTTCACTGAAGCCAGACATAGCCTCTCACAACACTAGCTGACAGGTTCCTAGAACACTTATCTAGTGGGGGGAAACCTGTACTACAAGGGGCCCGTCCTCCAAAATATAATTCTGGGGTTTTTGGCATCCTCCTTCATATAGCTGAGTGATGAATTGTTTTCTGGTCACTTAAATCACAAGCAATACAGTACCTGCTCCTTAAGGGCAGCCTTCTCTAAATAAAACAATTTTCATCCAGAATATTGGGGCTGCCAAGTATATACATTTTAAGTGGTTACCTATGTATTACTTTTGGTTCGCCATAATCAGAAGAGTCTGGACACTGATGGCAACCACTTTGAGCACCTCTTGTAGTTGTAGAAGTCAAACATGACTTGTATTCATCTTTTTAATTGATATATATCGAGTATTACAATTTTAATATAGTTTTTTCTTTCTTAAAATGTGTATACATTTTTTTGGCACCCTCTCTTTATCCATGACCTTAAACCCTTGTGTGTAAAGACACTATATATATAGTGATTATTAAATTGAGTTAGCTTGTTTCACCCAAGAATACAAAGGTGGGTACCTGAGGAAGATTAAGCTAACTAAATTTTATGACTTTAAATGATTTAAATGTTTATGATTTAATGATTGGTTTTATTTGCCACATATAATGACAATATCCCTGTAGATCATACTGTGCATAATTAAAATTCACTTCACAAATAATAAGTTGATAAAAAGTCATGATCTCACAATCTAGTCTCAAATACAAATCCAGTCCCAAGGTTTTTTGTTTGTTTGTTTTTTCAGTTGGAGTCTCACTCTTGTAGCCCAGGCTGGAGTACAGTGGCATGTTCATGGCCACCACAGCCTCGACCTGCTGGGCTTCAGCGAGCCTTCTGCCTCAGCCTTCCAAATAGCTGGAACTACAGCCACACGCCACCATGCCCAGCTAGCTTTTGTGATTTATTGTAGAGACGAGGTCTCACCACGTTGCCCAGGCTGGTCTTGAAACCCCAGGCGCAGGCAATCAATCCTCTTGCCTTGGCCTCCCAAAGAGCTGGGATACAGGCTGAGCCACTATGCCCAGTCTCAAGGTATTTTTGAGATTTGACTTTTTGTCTTAAAGATTGTCAATGCTAGGCCAGGCATGGTGGCTGCTCACGCCTGTAATCCCAGAACTTTGGGATGTGGAGGCGAAAGGGTTGCTTGAGTCCAGGGGTTCAAGATCAACCTGGGCAATTGATGAGCCCTTGTCTTTACAATAAATTAAAAAATTAGCTGGGCATGGTGGCATGTATTTCCAGCTACTTGGAAGGCTGAGGCAGAAGGATTGCCTGAGCCCAGTGGCCCAAGATCGTCAATACTACTTGATACCTGAAAAAGAAAAAGTGAATTGACCATAAGATATCAGCTTGCTGTATCAAAGTTGTGCAGGGGAAATAAAATTTATGCTAAAAACGAATTCTTAAATATTCAGTTTAATACAATAGACTACTAATTGCTGTACCTTCAAAAAGTGTTTAAATATTACCTTTCAAAGGTAAAAGGTATGAAGCTATCTCTAAATGTCTTTAAGCTGTGGTTGACTTATGCTTATGTTGTAAACCTAGGGTCAACCAAGATAGTCATCAACAATCCACTTAAAATTTAGGATTAACAAAACAACAACAAAAAACCCAAGTAACCCAAAAACAGTTTCTGAGAGAAAATAATTACATCCTCACACAAAGTCTTTAGAACATTATATTTCATAAAAGACAATGATAAAAAAGTACAAACATTTCCATGAGAAGCAAAAAAAAAAAAGTACAAGAAATTACTAGCATTTATTTCAGTGCATTTATATAGAAGCCTTTCATATCTTAATAAATAAAATAATCTTAAGTACACTTCCTCTTTCTGATAAACAACACTATGGCCATTTTAGTCCTCTCAATTGGCATACTTGCAAATCCAAGGCAGTAAATCCAGAGTACTCTTTATTTGATAAATACATAAAGAAACATAACAAAGACAAGCAAAGTCCAAATAAAATGACACAAAATCTGCTTTCACGTGTAGGAAGCTTCCAGAAGGAGAATATTGTATTGGATATTTTCCATTGTTTTAAAATGGATGTATCTTGGCTAGGAAAGGAGAATAAGTAAATTTTTAATTCATAAATTTGTACTTACATAATGTTATAAATAAGGTTTTCTTACTGAATACCTTTTCACAAAAACAAAAACTTAAATTTAATGTGAAATGAAAAAAATACTCATAAAGCCCTAGTTTTGGCAAAGAACTGAATGACTGTCTCACTGTGAATTAGACATACTGTTCCAGCAAATGTGTACTTTTCTCTCCCTTTTTTCCTCTACAAACAGGCTCGTTCATCATTACTTCTTTCTCGAGTCGAAAGGCACCATAAAATTCTCCCAGCAGTGCCATAAGGACCTCCTTATTGGTTATAGGTCCAAATATATCAGTTTCTTGACTTTGAGGCTAAGAATATAACAGATAAGTTATCAGAGGATATCCTCATAATTTCAGAAAGGTTTCAGCTTGCTTGATCTGCTTAGAAATGAAATTTTCTTCCCACAGACATACCTAGCACCTCACCTGACATGGAGTAGGCAATCAATAATAGTGTTCATTAATAAATTCACCAAACATACTATAGAGAAGATAGCTTGCATTTGCAATGTATTCGCTAATCTTTATAGAAAAGATTTATGTCATACAATGAAGATAACTGGGCAAAGCTCTGTCACTCTTATGGAAATATATAAAGGTCACTGTTTATAGGCAAAAATAATTTTAGGTCTACCCTTAAAAAGCAAAACAAAACCAACCAAACAAAAAGCAAAGCAGTGAGGTGATTTTCACAGGATGACACACCACATTCAAAACTAAAAAAGAGCAAAATATTTGTCTCATTCCTAAAACAAAAATTAACATCAGACTTAACTCAGGAAAATAAGGCAGATACTAGTAAGTTCTGAGTTTTCTTGAAATAGTAAAGTATATATAAAATGAATGTAGACAACTTCACATTAAAAAGAGAAGAATGTTTCCCTTATAATAAAACTCATAAACAGCCCTAATTTTCCCCACCACTAAAATAATCAACTATTTATTATTGGGTTTAATTATGCTCCTACTATCGTGTTAGTGACAACAAATTGTTAACATTCCCAAATGCTTTCATTTCATCGTCTTAAAAAACTACATTGTTATGAGAGACAGAAAAATAGCAGATACATAAATTAAAAACAAATATCTTAATTTTCAGAATGTGTGATTTTTCATTATTTTGAGTACCACAAAAAAATGGAAAGATACATATTTTGGAAATATTTCTAAGAAATAAATATGGAAAATTTTTGTTTGGTATCATAAGAGAGAGGCTATTCACTTTCTCAAAGGATAAGAATTTCAATTATTTTATGATTTAGTTTGTGGTCATTTGCATTACCAATACTGAAAAAAAAAATAACACTTACAACCTGAGATAAATAACCATATTTCTGTTTTAAATGAATGATCCATGAGGCCAATGTTACCCAAACAGCACTCATAGATTTCTACTGTTCTTCATCATTGTTGAAGATTCACTTTATAGACATGTAATTTTTGGTTTTAAATTTGTGAAAACATCTCAAGATATTTTAAAGAGTTTTTATAATTGATAATTTTCAAACTAAGAACACTGGTTTTGCCATGGAAAACTTCATCCAAAATTAAGATAAATATACTTGACATCAGGTAGTAAGACCTGTTCTCTGTTTTCAGAGAAGTGTCATATTATAGTATCAGTGCACTTAAATAACTGGTAATATAATTTAATTCTCCTAAAGTATACTTTTAGTGAGGAAACTTTAATAATTAACACCAGAGATGTCATTTCTTAAAGTGAAAGAAATAAAATATAGTTTGAATGAAACTGGCTAACATTCAAGAGTCCTTTTCAAAAGTGAAATTCTATGTCTGAGAATAAAACTTAAAATTGTTTGTACCTACTAAGCATTTATCTTCATAAAAATAGAACATTTAATTTCTCTAATAGTATAATTCATTTGTATATTATTAAGTACTACTGAGTTTTCCATAGATCACTCTTTTTTTAAAAAACTGACTTGATTTCTTTTTATATGAAGATACTTTTTGGCTCTTCTGAACTGGAAATAATAAAAGTGCTGTTCACCGTGAATTAAAAAAAATACAGCATATAAACATACAACCTTGGAAACATTTTTTGAGGCACAAAATCCCTGACACACCAGCGGTACATGAAAGACATTTAACATAAAGAGGTCCTTTATAGCATGTCACATCACAACTTTTAAGATTTTATTCGTAATACTCATGCAATATGCATAAACAATGTGGTTGTGATTTATAGCAAAATCAGATGAGACTGCAAGCAAGGAAAAAAAATAGGTAATCCTGGTAGGAAGAAAAACCGTTAAAGTATTTTCTTCTTTACCTTTAAAGCCCTAAAAAAACTGTGGCTTCTTCCACACGAAAGGCTGAGGTCTAAAGTTCAAAACTAGTGTAACAGTTTACTGCATTAGTTGGCTGTCAACTACTGACAGTTCCTTCATTTCACACAAGGGTTAACCTTTGTTTAGTGACATAAATTTACTGTGGGTTTTTTTTTTTCCCCATGCAGATAAAAAAAAAGTCTATAAAATTCCAATAATAAAGGCATAACCAATTACATGCAAAACTGCAACACATCTTATTTTTCAACAATTTGCACACATTAATTTACATCACATATGTACAAAATATGTTTAAGCTGAAATAAAAGCATTCTCTTGATTTAAATTATAGATTTTAGTATAAAAGCTTTCTCTTTGTAAGGAGCTCTCTTAACTTCCAAGCTTAAGCAATGGCTTCCAGTTTCTGTGGTGCTCACCCCCAGGGTGTGTCTCAAAGCACAAGGGAGGGGTGGAAGAAGGGTGAGTGTAGACAGTCCCACGCTGTAAACACTGAGAACTGTGGGCTCTTCTTCTCAAAGAACATGGTGCTGTGACACATCCCACCACTGACCTCCACCAAGAGTGCACTCCAAGTTTATGATCCAACATTGTGGTCTATCTTCCAAGAGAGCTATTTTTAATAGTCTTCGATTGGTGCTAACTCTGGCATGAGGTTTACAGATATATTTGTATACAACCTATCAACCAGTATTTTGGGTCTATATATTAAATTGTTCAATCCATCGATGTATTGACGCTCTTTAGAATACCTTAGTAATTTATATCTATAGCGTTAGAGGGGGAAAAAGGTAACAGAAACATGTTCAAAAAGAAAATTGATGAGAAATGTGTTCAAGGTCATCTTATAGTTAAAGCATTTAAAGCTCTTTATAAATGTCTAGCTCTCATGCGTAAGTAAAAACCTCTAAATCATTATTTTAAATTAGAAATCTTGTGAGTCAAAAAATGCCACCTGAAAAAATTATTTTGTACTCTTACAAACTAGGCATCCTCTAAAAATAAAATGTGTTATGTTTTATGTTAAGAAAATACTTTTCAAATAGTTAACTGGATTCTTTAATATGATAATTATATGTGTACATATGCATATGTATGTATAAGTATCTTTCTTTAAAGCAAGCACAAAAAAACGCTTTCCTTCCAAAATGAAAATTTCCCCTTAGCAGATTTTCTGGGGGATGCAATGTATTCTTATTTACCTTTTCTATATTAAACAGTGTTGAAGTGTTGAAAGCTTAGTACCTGAAGATGAAACTTACCGTCCTAAAAACTGGACTTCACCTCGATGGTGATGAGGAATAGACTTGTATTTTCCTAAGTCTCCCTCTGGTCTGGTTACATTATATCCAGCATAGTGAACTCTACAATATAACATATGGAAATAAAAATATAAGGAAAATCTCACATAAAAATTGATTATGTGAGTTCAATCTTAAAAGGCAAATAATGCTCTAATTTATGCATACGCTGCCAATAATTTCAGAAGGCACTCTTTTTGGGAGGGTTGGAAAATATAGTTTATTCAGAAAGTAAATTAGAGAGAGAGAGAGAGAGAGAGAGGGGAGATTCACCTACCCAGGGTAGGGGATGGCGCCAAAGCTAGGAAAAATGGCAGCCATAGCTCAAAGAGCCACATGGACACATCAGTTTAACAAAGCAATGACCAGAAGGCACTCTTAAATGGGAAAAAAGAGAAACACCAAACAGAATTTAGGAACTCAAAAATTTCCCATCCCAAAGAATCTTTTCTTAGAATAGACAAGAACTAATATCTACCTAATAAAAATAAAATTTATAAAAACTCTATTATTAAACAGTTTGTATCTCAACAAACCTGTTCCAAAGGTCATCATCTTCTCCTCCCCATCCCCAGAAGGCATTAGGAAAACCATTGATCTTTCTAAATTGTTCCACTGTCAGTCCACTTACACCACCAAAAAACTCTTTATATGGAAGACTAAAAAAGAAAGCAGGATACAGCACTTTAGAAGGGAAATTGTAAGTTTGCCATGCGAAACCAAGTTTTCAGTCTTTCGTGTGCTCTGCAAAATATATCCCTATTTTCCACACACACAAAAATTCTGCTGGAAAATGTAAAGTACATCAAGAAACAAAACATTTTTATATTCTAGTGAAATAAGCAAACTTAAATATGTTATGTTAAACACAAAATAAAACACATGTGGTAACTGAACTTTCATACTTAGCATATAAATAAGACTTAAAATAAGACATTTCTAGGACTCAAACTCAGTGCTCAAAAACTCTATTTTCACAACAGAAGCACAAGCAACTGTCAATACAGGTGAAATGTTGCTAAACTAGTAACACTTTAAAAATTAATTGAATTATAAATGCATTATTTATTATACAGAGCAGAATAAATACAAATAATAAAAGACAGCTCTTGCATTTAATTTTGAAATAACTAGCTGCTTATTCTATAATGCCTTTATCTGTTGGGGGGGAAATTATAAGAGGAAACATCCAAAAACCTGGAATTTATTTATTAAAAATTGTGCATTTATTCTTACGTGTTTAAACTTCAGTCACCTTCAAAGTACTCCCTGTTTGATGAAATACAACTATTGAGATGTTTTCTCCACTGCTCAAAACAGTTTTTTGAACTCGCCAATTTGGATGCCTTTTAGTGCTTCTGTGGTTTTTTGTTTCACCCCTTCCACATTGCCAAAACATTTCCCTTTGAGGACTTTTTTCATCCAGGGAAACAAAAAAAGTCGCTCAGGTGAGATCAGGCGAGTAGGGAAGATGGGGCATGGGAATCACGTTGGTTTTGGTCAAAAACTGGGGAACACTCAGTGCAGCATAGGCAAGTGCACTCATAAATCACCCTTCATGAAATGGGCAAAAAAAACATGTTGAAAGAATCTCCATTAGAAAAAAAAAATCACTGAAGCTGAACACAGTTTCTCACAACAGCTCTTGCTGATACACTGATACCAATGGGTTCCTAGCAGGGGAAACCTGCACTACAAGGGACCTGCCCTCCAAAAGATAATTCTGTTGTGTGTGTGTGTGTGTCCTCTCCTCATATACTCCCCAAATACTCATGGATACTTACAAATATATTTATTTTTAACACTAATATTAGAGAAATAACTATACTCTTAATTTTTTATTTTATTTTCCTTACCCTTCCCTAACTCATACTCCAAGGAATGTGTCAAACTATGCAAAATTTTAAAACTATAACTAGACCTGCAGTCCTGAATAAATTCCTGTGGCTCAAAATGTGCCACAGGGGAATACATGTCAGAGCCCCAAAGAGCCCAGGATAATGTGCAGTACCCGCAGTGGAAACAGGACCATGCACAGCACCCAAGCGAAGCTGAGGGAAATGTGGCTGGGACTCAGCAAAGCCGTCACAGAGAAAAGGAGGGAGCAGATTTCATTTTTTGCTGGAGGGACTTGACTTACTCCTTATGGGAAGGACACGCACTTTGCCAGTTAGGATCTTGTGTGGCCACCAAACCAGGGAAGAGTAGCCTCCCCATGGACCCTAAGGTGTAGGAGAAAGCAGTCTTGCTCCCACCCTTAGTCAAAGGTGCCCCAAGAAAGTAACAGCAACACGGATCCTGAAGTCAACCATACTGTCTCACAAGACCTCGTGAGGCTCGCGTTTGGCAGCTTAGTGTTCCAGTAATGAGATGAGTTGGGGGTTCCGTGAGGCCAGTGAGAGTTCTTGAAGCTGTTGTACTTTTCACCCTACTTGGATTATCCTTGCCCCGACTAGTGGTTTGGGAGAAACTTGAGCTCATTAGACAGAGAGATATGAATAAATGTGTGTTTATTGACAGGTATAAACCAGCAAGTATGTCAATTCCATCTGCTGTTCTGCCTAAGTAGAAACAATCAATTGTATTAATACCATAAGCAAAAGGGAAAATAGGAGGTAAAATGAAGGTATAAAAGATAAACTAGAGAACAGAAAACAGAACCCAACAAGCAAAATGTTGTAGTGTTTATCTCACACTGTCTGCAGTGAAGAGACACTACATCTGGGGGCCCAAATTTTCTGGTCAGCAGCAGTCAGCGTGTGGACACCCCTGTGGGACACAGATGCATCAACAGGCTTCAACTCAGGCTGAAGTAAATGCAGTGTCCAGTCCATACCTCGACCTGCTGCCATTCTCCCTATGCTGCATTCTAGTTTCTACACAAATTTCCAAGGTACTCTACTAATCCAGGGACTAGTCTAGGTGGACAGGAATACAGCTGACCCTTAAGCAACACGAGCTTGAACTGCCTGGGTCTGCTAGTCTACAAATTTTCTTTCCTGGACAGTTTCCCCGAGTGTGACAGTTTCCCCTCCCAACTCCTCCACTCCTGAGACAGCAAGACCAACCCCTCTTCTTCCTCTTCCTCAGCCTACTCAACATGTAGACAAGGATGAAGACCTAACTTATGATGATCCACTTCCACTTAATAAATAACGAATATATTTTCTCCTCCTTATGATTTCCTTTTAACATTTTCTTTAACTAGAATACAGCATAATATATATAATATACAAAACATATGGTAATCAACTTTTTATGCTATCTGTTGGTAAGGCTTTTGGTCAACAGTAGGTTGTTGGTGGTTTAAGTTTTGGGGAAGTCAAGTTACACTATGTATCTTACTGCATGAGGGGATCATCACCTGTAACGTCTGCATTGTTCAAGGGTCAACTGTATTTTTGCTCATTAGAAATTAATATTTTCATGAAGAAAAAACGTAGAGTTCTTAGTTTACAGACCTTTATGATATTTTTTAGTAAAAATCAGTTACCCTGGATCTAGTTTTATTCTAGCATGCTGACCAAAATTAAGTTTCCAGAAGTGCTAAGAACCAGATTGTGCTGGGAGCAGTGGCTCATGCATGTAATCCCAGCACTTTGGGAGGCTGAGGCAAGAGGATTGCTTGAGCCCACGAGTTTGAGACCAGCCTGGGCAACATGGGGAGCCTTCAACTCTACAATAAAATAAAACATTTAGCAATGTGGCACACGCTTGCAGTCCCAGCTACTTGGAAGACTGAGGTGGAAGGATCTCCTGAGAATAGCTGGTCAAAGCTTTGGTAGCTATGACCATGCCACTGCACTCCAGCCAGGATGACAGAGTAAGAAAGATCTGACTCAAAAAACAAACCCAGATTGTGAGCCTTGATGGTCTCCTCAAAGATAACTCCAGACTTGAGTTCAGATACTGAGGTAGCCAAAAAAAAAAAATCCTTTCTTTTCCTGTTTTAACATAGATTAATCTGCTAGCATCATTAAGACTTCATGCCTCTCTTTACTCTGAAGGTCAGCACCAGGCAAAACTGTGACACAGGCAACATCTTCCTATCCCAGGCAACAAACGGCCTTCTCATCTCTCCCACCTTCCACGAGCCAAGGAAAAGTATGATCTTTCTCAGATTAGATCTTCATTATTTCGTATCCATTTAAGTTACTACCTCAGTTCTGACGATTGCTTACATTTTAAGATATCTCCAGTTGGAGAAGAAAATTTGGTTTTGATTCTTAAGGGACAGGACAAGAGTGCATAGCTTAGGAAGAAGATACACAGCAGATGAGAGTGCTTCACAGCCCTGAACCATCAATAGGGGCAAAGGAGGCAGGCAGAAGGAGCCCACCTAAGGCACACACCCACCACCCGGCAGGCACAGAGCACATGTGACCTCACAGCAGCCCTACAGACGGGCTCTAGTCTTCCAGTGAACAAGGAAACCAACATTCAGAGATCGAAGTAACTGAGCAAGTACTGGAACTGTAAGTGTGGGAACTCAAACTTAAATGTGCATGTTCCTGACTGCAGGCTCTCATTCCCATCACACTCAAACCTCTGTATAAAGAAGTGCCCAGATGGGTGACAAGCCACTCTGTGTCCTGGTTCCTCTGGAGGATGGGATGGAGTCAAAGATAATACTCTTGAGGTTCTTGAGGTCTCTCAGATTAGGCATAAAATGCTACTACCATTTCAACGCTATGATTATGCAAGGATATCGTACAATATCAGAAACAGTGCACACTACTTACATGTACATGTACTTATCCAGTTTTGCTGCAAAATGACGTGGCATTTCTCCACATCCATAATAGTTCCGGTCATTTTCAGGTAGATGATCCACATCATGGAATATTATGCAGTCCCAGCCACTGTCTTTCATGGCCTCTTTGAAGCCCACGTTGAAGAGCATTGCACGGTTAAAAGGTTGTGTGCCCATCTTCACAGAGCAAACCCAAAGAGAGAAATAGAAAGGTATTCACACTCTGTCATCTGACTTTTTCTACATTTCTCTAACTTGTATCATGACCAAATAATAATAAATGATACCCAAGTCAAACAGACAAGTAATAAACATACTTCACTGTCTAAAAATATACGATTACATTCGCTTATTATTTTATACTCTGGTAACACAGAAGAAAATACTGTTATTATGTAGTCTATTGGTACATCATCACATTTATGTAATAAGAGAATTTCTATTTCTGCTCTACTTCAAACACATTAGGGTATAGATTATTTGTGACCAGAAAAAAATAAAGTCATTAAAAACAATATAAGTATTATTTCTTAGTGGTGCTTTCCATATGCTGTCAAGACTAAGAGCAGCAAGAAACTGAAAGTGACTCAATAAACGGGGATCCATCTTTTTTATAACAAGCCAGGGAGGTCTAACTTTGTATTACTAATGCTTATAATAAATAACAAGACCGCTTTAGAGACAGAAACAATAGAAACTTATTACACATAACCCAGCTTTCTCTATTACAACCATTTCCCTTTATGACTACAGAAAATACACTCAAGCCTGTGGACAACAAATAGTCGATATTTTTCTTGCTTATGATAATGATCAAGAGCATTTTAAGAGACAAACAAAAAAGAAGCTAATTACACAGAACCCAACCGCCTATATACTACAACCATTTTTAAAAAATTAACTAGTGAAAATATTTGAAGGTGTCCTGACAATAAAAGAATTTCATTCTGCACCTAAAGAAAATTAAAGAGCATTTTCCAATACCAGCATTTCTCAAAATCATGTCTAGAATGTAAAACATAAAAGGATTATGACAGAGGTGAATGAGACACACAATGTCATCATCACCTGAGGTGCTGCCTCAAGAGTGAAAAATTACCAGTTTGTAGTCCTGATCTTGCATTACCTGAGGTGACAAAAAACACTTTGCTTTGTACAGCCTGTTTTTCCACCAGTGAAATGGAGAGGATATCAAGAAAAGGGAGTTACATATAACGCTATTACTGGTACATCAACACCACCTTTAGCAAACTGCATTCCCTTAAGGTTAAAACCTTTTTTCAATTAAATATGGACACATGCTCAAAAGCTTTTAATAAAAAGAAGATGTTCTATGTCCTCATTCATACCCCAAGATGTTCTATGTCCTCACTCATCTTCATATTCCTAGAGCAATAAATTCAACTCTTCCAGCTGTTTATTCTGGCATTTATCTCCATGTTGTGAAGAAATGAGAGTTCTGATATTTCTCGCTTCTTTGACTCTGACCACTGTCTCTTGACTTCTTATCATGACTGTGGAGGAATTAACCAACCAACCCGCTGCCCCCACTTCAATTGTCCCAGTAAAGTTAGATCACAATTTTTGGTTAGATCAATAGAAAGTACATTATTAGGACTATGTAAACACTTCTTCAGTACTGAGTGAATGGGACTGTTTTCTTTCTCAAAACTGGGATAAACTATAGTTTTCTATAACTACCATTGCTCTGTACAAAAAGCCCAAGAGCTACGCCCCACACCCATCAATAACCAATATCATTGTCCAAACACATCAAATCATCTTCATTTCCTTCTCCATCTCCCAAGTCCAACTCCCTCTTACCCTCTCCAGCCAGGTGGGATTATCATCTGGGACGTGTCCTTCACTCCCTAAATCACTCATGTCTTTAACTTGGCTTTCTCAGTTCACTGAGGGACTTCCTTCAGTAGCTTCCTAAGTAAGGTGCATGGAAAACATATGTTTTTAGCCAATGGATGTTTGAAGATGCTACTAGCCTACCCTACACTGGATTGACATTTTGACTGGGTAGAAAATTCCAGGAAAAATATTTTTCCTAGAATTTTGAAGGCATATCTATGCAATCTTCTAGCTATCAGCATTGCTGAGGTTCATATATCCCTGCTTCCTTAATCATGCCATTTTTCCTGCAGAATCTTTTAAATATCTTCTCTTTTCCATTGTATTATAAAATTTCAAAACAATATGTTTCCTAGTGAATATATATTTTACTCATGTGTGCATGTACAGCCCTTTTAATCTAAAGCACTTCTGCCTTCACTTCTGGAAAAATTCCTTCTTTGGTTGTTTTCCTCTCACTCCACCCCAATTTTTTCCTGCAATAATTTTTCTAGAACCCTGATTAGTGAGTATTTTAGTCATCTATTGATGTGTAATAAATCACAGCAAAATTTGGTGGCTTAAAAGTGCACTAGTCATTTATTATGCATACAGCTTCTATGGAGAGGAAGTTCTGGGAGAAGAGCATCACCTCTGCTCCATCGTGTCCTGGACCTTGGCTGGAGAACTGGAAGACCAACTGGATACATTGACAGGCTCATCTGGGGCAGAAGGATCTATTTTCAAGTGGGCTCATGTCCATGACTGTCAAGCCAGCTCTTCTCCACAGGGCTGCTGGAATGTCCACACGACAGGCAGCTGGTTTCCCCAAGAGCAAGGGATGCAAGAGACCAAGGCAGATGCAGCCATGTCTTCCATGGCCTAGCCACAAAAGCCACATGCAGTCCTTCCCATAGTGTGTGGCTCCCCATTCAAGTCAGCCCTTATTCAATGTGGGAAGAGAATATAGGAGTCTGATGACAAGGAGGGGAAGATGTCTGAGGCCATCTTAGAGGGTGGTTACTCCTGTGACATGGGGGTACTCTTAGATGGATCTTATTATTGTCTTGGTTTTGGTTTTATTTTAGGAGCTACCTTCAGCTTATCTGCTAGTCATTCTACTGAAAGTCTTGTTTTAGCTAACACACTTTCATTTTCAATTAACTTCTTATTCTTCTATTTTTGTTTCAAAGATTCACTGTCTTTCCTTCATCGCTGTAAATTCTGATTAGTTTTCTTTCTATTTTTTTTTAAGACTGTCTCTGTTTCCCCTGTTGTCTCTCTTTTCTACACTCCCTTTTTTTTGCTTGGATTTGTCTACTCCCGTGGAAGCTTTCTGGGAATCTAGAAATCTGGGAATCCTTGGCTGCCCATTCATGTTTGAGAATGAGGCAGTAAACAGCTGAAGGCAATCTCTGCATATTTATGCAAGTATTGTTGCAAACATTTTGACACACACACACACACACACCCAAGTAAAAACAACAAATAAAAGACATGCTCCTCTTCCTCCAAAGCTCTATACATCCACAGGACAAAGGTTCTGGCATTGTGTCTGACTGCTTTCCACCACTCACATCGCATCTCCAGTTCATCCGCAAATCATGCCACCCTTAAACCCAGCATAGCCCATACCCACCACCACTCACCACCTCCTCCATGACCACAGTAGCCCACATCATCAACTTCAGTCTGGACAACTGCCAAAAGCTGGCCAAGGGCACTCCTTGCTTCAGCCCTGGCATACAGCTCATTCGCAACAAAGCAGCCACAGTCATGTTGTAACCATAGTTAGATCAAGTCTTTCCTCCACTTAAAGCCCTCCAGTGTCCTCTGACCTCACACAGGCTAAACCAAGTCCTCGCCCAGGTCTGCTAGGTCATTCATTATTTGCTTCTCTGATGTCCTCCCCAGCATGCTCCTCCATCAGCTGCTTGGCAACACTGACCTCTTTGCTCAAACACACCAAGCTTTCTCCTGCCTTGCCTGCAACGCACTGCCACCGCATCAGTCTTCGTGTCAGATGCTCCAATCCCACCTTCTCCGAATACTCTGTATCAAAGAGCACCCCTGCCTGTTCTTACCACTCTCTGCCCTGAGCACCGCCTGACATATCACACAATTATTTACTGCCTTTCTGACCAGCACAGGAGGTTGCCTTACCTGGTTTGTTCACTGCCATTATCCCCTTTGTTGAATGAATGAAAGATGCAGGGAGGTGATAATGTGACAGGCTGGACTTTTCCTTTGGAGACTTTCAAATATTAGATCTAGGGTATTTTTACTGGGGTGAATCTATTTCTCTAACAAAGACACCATTCACGCCCTGCCCCAGTTGGAGAGCTGGGGGGATCTGTATCTGGCTGCTGGTTTCAAAAAGCCAGACAGGGCAAGGCCTGAGGGTCCCTAGAGTCAGCATGCAGTCTTACTTAACTCCCCTGGGGTTAGGCCCCACCACGTATTAATAGCTGTGTTAGTCATCAGGAGCTTCTCAAGGAGGTTTTTCTAGAGGATAAACTTCATTTTCTAAGAGATACAAGAGAACAATCACCTAATACATGCAAAGATGAGGAGCTGAGGATCTGACTGTTTTGTAGATATACTTTTGAACAATCTCCTTGTTTTAGTCCAGTGCTTCCGTCTATCTTCTGTGACGTTTTTCAAGTGCCAAGATTCTCAGGGGTTTGTCCAGCACACTGACCCCATTCTTATCATAGTCACCCTCCAAGAGCACGTGGGTTTGAGCATCTTCGGGCAGGCAGTTACCAGCATGCCATATGCTTCCTGACTTTCAGAAATGTGTTGAAATGTCTCACCCTCCACCATCTCTTTGCCTTTGTGGTTTAACCACTTTTTAACAGTCCCCCGCCACCCCCCCCTTCTTATTTTAGGAGTTTGGAGAGGAGGTAAACCTGTACAGGATCCTCTGTGTTTAACAAGGTGTCTGAGCTGTTCTTCAACTGCTGAGCACTTCTCCTTGGCACCCGTCCTGCAGAAAAGTTACTCTTCTATTTCACATGGGCCGAAGATGTTTCTAGTTCAAAATCACACACTGTCAAATAATACACGGTCCTAAATGTATACTGATCAAGGCTGAGATTCAGACTTAAGAGATTGAAAATAAAAGTATGGATCTTAGTTGCTTTGCAAAGATTTCATCACACACACAAAATACTTCAGTGGTGCTGAACTCTGAAGAGACTGTGCCTTTAAAAATAGAGACAGGTAATTCACCTCTCAACATGTTATGGGAAACTGAAGCTTCACAAAAGGAAACTAGCAGCTGGGAAAAGTGACCTAGAAATCTACAACTATGACTATCATGAAAGTAGCTAAAAATTATAATGTGCTATCAGGTTAAAAAAGAAGATCAACTTTTCATAGTATAGATTATTGCATCAAAAAGTATATATGTCTGTTCAAAGCTAGATTTATAAGAAAAGCATTTTTAACTGCATATATACTATATACAACAGGATGTACATAGGGCACAAAACTCAAAGAGTGATTTGCATACAAATATATTAAATGTCAATTATTTCCAGGAGAAAAAAAAGCAGAGGCAAAAAGCTAAGAGCGAGATTACTAAAAAAAAAAAAACAAAACCCAAACAAAAAGCAAAACAGGAAAACAGATCTAGAATAAACCATAAAGTAGCTGGAGAAACTATAACAATTTTAGGAATAAAAATGTGAATATTTTCACCAATAAAAGAGTGAAAATATCTAATAATACAAGCCAGGTCATTCTGTCTATATTTCTACTATTATCTATTGACAAATAAAAGAATAAGTCCTTACAGGCTTTTTTGTAGAAATTGACAAAGCAGATTTAATGGAACAAAAGAGAGAAACTAGAAACAGACCCACATGTATGTGACACATATGAGGGAAGACCCTCCAAAACCCTGGAATTTATTTACAAAACATTGTGTATTAATTTTTATGTTTAAACTTCAGTCACCTTCAAAGTACTTTCCATTTGATACACTATACCTATCAAGATGCTTTTTTCACTACTCAAAACAGTTTTTGAACTGATCAATTTGGATACCTTTTAGTCTTCTGCTGGATTTTTATTTCACTTTTTACACATCAGCAAAACATTCCCCTTTGAGGACTGCGATCATTGGGGAAACAAACAATAAAAAAATCACTCAGGGCAAAAGCATGTGAATAGGGAGGGGAGGACACAGGGGTCTTGCTGGTTTTGGTCAAAAACTGCTAAACACTCAGTGCAGTGTGGGTGGTTGCGTTGTCATGGTGTAAGAACCAGTCGCCTTTTTCCCACAACTCAGACATAACTGCCACAAATCACAATGTACAACAATGTTAGCTGGTATACTGATGCTGATGGGTTCTTTAGAACACTTACTTACTTAAGGGAGCCTGTACTATGAGGGTCCTTCAAAAGATAATTCCAGGGTTTTTTTGGGTCCTCCTCATACACGTTGACTGATTTTCAACAAAATGCCAAGGCAATTCACTGGCAAAAACAAACTTTTCCACAAATGGTGATGAAACAACTAAATAGCCACAAGTTTAAAAAAATGAAACTTGGCTGGGCGCAGTGGCTCAGCCTGTAATCCCAGCACTTTGGGAGGTCGAGGCGAGAGGACTGCCTGAGTCCAGGGGTTCAAGACCAGCCTGGGCAACTTGGTGAGTCTTTGTCTCTACAATAAATCACAAAAACTAGCTGAGCATGATGGCATGTGTCTGTAGTTCTAGCTACTTGGAAGGCTGAGGCAGAAGTATCACCTAAGCCCAGCAGGTCGAGGCTGCGATGGCCATGAGTGTGCCATGGCACTCAACCTGGGCAACAGAGTGAGACTCCAACTCAAAAAAAAAAAATTGAACCTTCACTCTTACCTCATACCGTATATAAAGATTAACACAAAATGAATTAGCCTAAGTGTAAGAGCTAAAACTAAAAAGCTTCTGGAAGAAAATATAGAGAAGAAACTTACAGAGCAATTTCTCAAATATCATAAAAAAACGCAAGCTGGCCAGGCTCGGTGGCTCAGTCTGTAATCACAGCGCTTTGGGAGGCTGAGGTGAGTGGATTGCCTGAGCCTACAGGTTCGAGACCCGCCTGGGCAACTTGGCGAGACCTCATCTCTACAATAAATCAAAAATTAGCCAGGCATGATAGCACACACCTGTAGTTCCAGCTACTTGGAAGGCTGAGGCAGAAGGATCACCAGAGCCCAGCAGGTCAAGGATGCAGTGGCTGGGAGTGGCCACTGCACTCCAGTTTGGGTGACAGAGTGAGACTCCAACTCAAAAAACAAAACAAAACACAAGCTATTAAAAAAATCAATGAACTGTACATCATCAAAATTAAAACTTGCTTTTCAAGAGATATTGTTGAGAAAATAAAAAGGCAAGCCACAGACTAGGGGTAAATATTTGCAAAACTTATATCTTGCAAAAGGCCTGTATCTAGAATACATAAAGAAATCTCACAACTCAGTAAAAAGGAGACAACCCAATTAAAAAAAAAAGTAAAAGACCTCAGCAGAAATTTCACCAAAGAAGGTATACAGATACCAAATAAGTACATGAAAAAATAATTAACATCATTATTCATTAGGGAGATACAAGTTAAAATTGCAATAACCCTGAATTGTACCCTACACCTTTAAAGTAAAAAAATAAAAAAATTATAATAAGATACCACCACAAACCTATTAAAATGGTTAAAATTTAAAAGACTGATGATATCAAGTGTTGGCAATGACATAAAGCAATTGAAAGGGTCAGTACAGATTAATACAAAATTACCACATCACACACATTTTACTGTGAAATATGAGGTGACAATAATAAAAGAGGAATAATAAACTGGTGTGGTAAACTGGTTGGTCTTCAAGTATTATCATACCTTTTAAGGTTTCCAAAGATCACTTTATCAATGTTTAAAAAGAATGTAGAAAATTATTTATTTACATTTACACCTTACAGTTTTTAAACAACAACAGACTACAGAAAGTAAGTCAGGTTCATTTCAACACTATTTGAATACAGAATTATCATTTATTCAGCTTGGATAGCATCTGTTCAGAAATAAATGCAATAAACTTATTTTGGTTTTGCCAATTTTTTTTTTTTTTTTTGAGTTGGAGTCTCACTCTGTTGCCCAGACTGGAGTGCAGTGGCCGCTCCCGGCCACTGCAGCCTCGACCTGCTGGGCTCCGGCGATCCTTCCAACCTCAGCCTTCCAAGTAGCCGGAACTACAGGTGTGCGCTACCACGCCCAGCTAAGCCAATGTTTTTAAATTCCACTCTCTTCCTGGTTATCTCTGTTTCTAAAGAATTACAGAATCTCAGATTTGGAAGAAATCTTGGCCATTGCATGGACTAGTTCTCTATGTGACTTTTTTTTTAACTGTCGGTTCATTGGATGAATATTCACTTACCAATTAAAGAGCCAGGTCTATAAAAAGATAGTCAGGGTTCCTCTACCAAGAGAGATGATTTTGAAAGTGAAAAATTATGAAAACAGGACAGCAACTGTTCACTGTTTACTACTTAAAAAAAAAAAAAAGGATTACTACCTAGTTCTCATTCAGGTGCCTCTGATTACCCAATGAAGTTGATCCAATATTGATTTTCAGGGCTAGCCAACAACTATTCCATAGGACAAATAAATTCTCAGTCAAGAATGACCTATGCTTTGCTCTTTGTGTTAAAAAAAACAAAACAAGTACTCTTCCCTTTCTGTAGTTAATTTCATAAATTAACTTGGGTCATAAATGAGAATGCTCTTTTGAAATTAAACCCTGTGAGTATAACTGAGGTAATCCTAGGGTAGTTCAGTATAATTCTGAATGGGACTTTGAGTTGCACTCCAAAGTGCACCAGTGATGAGTACAGATGGCACTACATGATTCTAAATGCTCCCAAGTAGCCTAAATTTCAAAATAAGCAGTTTCTCAATTAAATGAACTTACAGATTTTCAAAGACAAAAATTATAAGCCTAATGAAAGCATGAAAAGGAACAATACTATAAGTTAAAGAATATTTAATCCTATAAGATAAATATCAGCAGTGTCTTCAAAAACCACAGTTTGACAATCTCATGTTTAGAATATCAAGGCTATTATACTAAATTCAAAAGTAACTGCTGAGCAACTCATTTGATCTGTTACTATAAAAAGCTATAATTATTATAAGAAAAAAATACAAGTGCAATCTAAAATGTAATTTTACTCAACTATAAAACCAATAATTTGAGTTACCTAATTAATATAAACTAATCCTAAGCTAAACATTTTTAATCAAACCATAGCTAAGAGTTCAAATCTAGTATACTTGATGACTATTTTGAAAAATATTCTCACCTGTTCAATGACATAAAAGGCAAACTCCAGCCGCTGTTTCTGAAGCATTGGAATCAGGTGCAAGAAAAAAATTGGAAGATGTTCATGGCGATTACGAAAAGGAATGAGAACTGCCACCTTTAAAACAAAATATTCACATATGTCAACAAATATAGCAGCAGATCCTAGAGGTAAAGGTAAAAACCAATCCTTGAAAATGTCTGACCACTGTAAAGTCACACCCTCATGAATATTTTTGCCAGACAGAGCAGTAAGCACACAGACACACGTGCCTTCTTGCTGTGCAGGATTTTGTGAAGCTGGGAGATGCTAGTGGGTTCTGAAAGCCGTTCTCAGGAATGTGGTCTTTAACCCATGAACACTGTGGGAAATCGGTGAAGGATTTTAAAAAGAGCGATAAGCCAGAGTTGGTGAATGCAAAGACGACTTTGGTGGCAGTATGAAGGCTAGACGGGAGAAGACCAAAAATGAATTCAGGGAGCTGGTCAGGCAATTAACATAATAGCCAAGGCAAGAGGTAATGGTAGCTTAAACTTAGGTGAGGGTGAAGAAGAAGAGAAGTCTATGGATTTTTCAAAACCTTTAAGGGGTAAAATAACAGGATTTAGCTATGGATTGGGTATGAGAAGTGAGAAAGACGAATGTGTCACATGAGCAACTTCTAAGTTTTAGAGGTCATAAATAATAATTTTTTAAATTTTAAACTGGATTTAAAAGAAGTTCCACTTCTATATCTACTAGCTTACATATGGTTTCTCTGGCCTAGGGATATTTTTAAGAAATATAACAGAAACCAAAATCTTCATACATGGGGTTCCAGCCATAACCTACTAAAGTAATCAAAAGATACATCATATTACTACAAAATACACATGAAGTTTGATTAAAAAGTTAATATTTTTCATTTACTCAAAATGCACAATTAAGCTTTTAATATATTTTGTAAATTTATTTTAGGAGTAGGATAATATTCAGTTTAAAATGATATAGTAACAAAATTCTTAGAATATTAAGCTTAACAAAAAAGACAACATAAGCAGCATAGAAATGTTTCCTTAATAAACCAAAGAAATTTGTTCTCATCCAAAAAGTAAAGGAAAAAACATCCATTAGGAAATGAAAATGGCTTCTTAGTACATCAATCTTTCTTCTAATATAATAAATAAATTAATGAAACTCTCAAACCCAAGACTAAAAAATACCATATATAAAATGTTTTAATATAATATGGGAATAAGTTAATGATCATCAACTATCACTTACTACAGTCCTCTGCTTCTTGGATCTACACTTTGTCATACAATCTAGGTCTCCTTACAATTCAGATTTTGCCCTTGAAAAGGCTAAAATATTTTCAAGATTATTTTTATTAGCTAAGCTGGCTTTATTATAATTGTGAATTTTCTAAGAAAATATGAAATTCAAACAGTTTTCTACAGATCATAAATTCCAAAGTCATTAGATTTTCAAAAAATGTAACAATGAAATTATATCTAACTAAAATGCCATGTCACTCCATATATCTCAAATTTTTAAAATACCCAATCTAAGCTGGTGGCAACAGAAAATTATATAAGAATATTAAATCAGTTGGGCTTGGTGGCTCAGCCTGTAATCTCAGCAATTTGGGAGGCTGAGGCAAGTGGACTGCCTATGCCCACAGGCTCGAGACCAGCCCAGAGAACTTGGCAAGGCCTCGTCTCTACAATATATAGCTGGGCATGGTAGCGTGTGCCTAGAAGGCTACTTGGAAGGCTGAGGTGGAAGGATTCCTAGAGCCCAGTGGGTCGACACTGTGGTGGCCAAGAGTGTGCCACTGCACTCTAGCCTAGGCGACAGAGAGAGACTCCAACTCGAAAAAAAAAAAAAAGAATATAGTACGCAGTCACAAAAAAAGAACAAAATCATGAATTTCGCAGCAACCTGGATGGAACTAGAGTTTATAATACTGAGTGATCTCTCAGAAACATAGATCTGAGTATTACATGTTCTCACTCATAAGTGGATCTTGAACATCTATTGTAATACTATAAGAAAAGGATTGACAGTGGTGGGAGACTATGAGGGGGAGCAGGGAGGGGAAGGGAGATGGGATTAACGGTAGTCAGTATCTGTCTGGGGTCGGGGGAACACCCCTTATCAACAAAGGTGCTGGAACGATGCATATCTGTATACCTAACCCTTAACTATACCCCACAATTTTAAAATAAAAAAATGTTTAATAACAAAAAAAGAATATTAAATCAAGGATGGACTAAAATTTTTCCTATACCCAAAAAATATTACTAATAAATGAATAAATGCAAATAATTGAGAATGTGTAAAATTTGGACTTAATCCTAATTACAAAATCAAGACATGCCATTAGTTATCATCAGCACAAAATAGTAACATTTCTCTGTGTATTTTATATTACCAGGATCATATATGGGAGAAATTTTAAAAGTATTTAAATAGTTTTATTTAAAAACAGAACAACAGACGGTTTAGTAAAATGGAAGGTGTCTAAGCTAGAAACTCCGAACACTCATTTTCCCTTAATGCTAATGGGATAGCAAAAAAAGACCATGGCTACTACATGGCTGAGACTTTCATGTTTGTACTAATGATTGCTTACTAGATAAGTGGTAGAAACTAAAGTGGTTCTGGTCCCTCTGACAGCCCCACTTGGGATCCCATTCCCATATGGTATGTCTTGGCACAAGGGTCTGAGGATCACCAGGCCCGGTATTCAAGATTCCCTTGTACCACAATGATGGCTGCCAATGGCAGTGGGAACTCCCTACTGAGTAACTTCCTGCTGGGCTTCCATAGCCATGGCAGGATCATTCAAGGAATTACCAAAACAATACAATGGCCAAACCAATTCAGGGGCCCCTAGGTTTACTCTTAGGATCAGAAACTGCTATGAAAAGTAAGAAAGGGAAGCAAGGAGTTAGCTGGTGAGTACGTATCCTTGCCACTGTCCTTACCTAAAGTTTATCAGTGTGACAACTTCTAGTAAAATAAAGGTCAAGCCTGTCCTTCCTGGTTTTGCATCTGGTTACAAGTTAGTTGCCTATGATATAATGTAAACAGGCTATAAAAGCAGTTAAGGCAAATTATAGATATTTAAGGGAAGAAATTACCAAGTGGCTGCAGAGTCCATATGAAAGACAATCCATATTAATTAAATATAATCAGACTGAGTGAATAGTTAAACATATAGGGATAAACAAGGCAAAGTTGTCACCCCAATGCAGAAATTTCTTCAATGAAGAACTTAAATACCATCTTTTAAAAAAATCTTATAAGGAAACTGAGAATGTTATAAGAGAAAGAAATTACCAGTATCTTGGCAAATTCAAATAAGCTGACATTTTAATAGCAAATAAATGTCGAAATTTTAATAAGACAGTTATCAAAGATTGTGAATATGTGATATGTCTAAAGCTAATTTTTTTATGAAAATAAAGCTGAACAATCTCTTAAAATTCATTTGGCATATCCCTTCTTGTGGAACAACATTCTCAATAGTTTCTAATATACTGTCTAGAAAAAGAAGATCTCCGTGTATAATCATTTATTTTGAGATTTAACAGGCTTTGTTGTAGGACATTCTTTTTCTATGTGCACTAATGTGCTGTGTGGGCCACTCTCATGTTACTGCATCACCAGTGGAGACAGAACGTCTAGTGATTATCTCCTGAAGAAACAACACTTCATCTTCCTGAATCTCCTCACCACCTCTTGTCTAAGGAAAATCATTCCCTTCAGTTTGTGCCCACTTTATTTTATTTATTTATTTTTGAGTTGGAGTCTCACTCTGTCGCCCAGGCTGGAGTGCCGTGGCACACTCACGGCCACCTCAGCATTGACCTGCTGGGCTCTGGTGATCCTTCCGCCTCAGCCCTCCAAGTAGTCGGAACTACAGGTGCACACTACCATACCAAGCTAATGTTTTGATTTATTGTAGAGACGAGGTCTCGCCAAGTTGCCTGGACTGGTCTCGAACACAGGGGCTCAGGCAATCCACTCACCTCGTGCTCCCAAAGTGCTGTGATTACAAGCTGAGCCACCGAGTCCCACCAGTTTGCGCCCACTTTAAACTCACTAGTCTAACCAATTGTATGCACCTTTTTTTTTTCCTTGCTTATTTTCTGAGAAGATCATCCAGAAAAAATTTTTACCACATCCATTTCTCCCACCAAGGTTCTGTCCCAGTTTAAAACTTCCAGCACACCACCAGCTACAGTGTCCCTAAATGACACGGCTTTAGACCTGGTTACCTTCAGGTGAATCTAGCTATTTGCCACTGAGGAAGCATAAGATAGCCAGCCCTCATTCTCCTTCAGCGTTTTCAGTTCCATCTTCCTCTTTCTCTTCATTTCCACTGTCCACAGGAGTGATTCTCAAACAGGAGGCAACTGATAAAAAAGGCAAGTTCTTACCCCTCCCCACCAATAGAATCAGAATGTTCTGAAGACTGAGTTCAAGAATCTGCATTTTTACCAAATGCCTCAAGCAGTTCTGAAACAGGTGGCTAATACCCATCTCTGAGGAACCTTAGACTACAAATCAAACTCCAGACCCCTGAGTAGATAACAGCATCAAGCAGCTGCCTGGTTCTTTCAACCTGGAGGTTTTAGATCAAAGTTGTCCAAACCCTCCACCTGAACTCTGAATGGAAAGACACTGTCCCAGGTAAACACTTCACTTTGTTTGTTTTGAGTTGAGGTGTCACTCTATTGCGCAGGATGGAGTGCAGTGGCACAGTCACTAATCACCACATCCTCAATATCCTGGGCTCAGGCGATCCTCTCACCTCAGCTTCTGAGTAGATGGGACTACAGGCACACACCACCACACTCAACTAATTTTTCAAGTTTTTTGTAGAGATGAAGTCTCACTATGTTGCTGAGGCTGGTCGCAGACTCCTGGGTTCAAGAAATCCTCTTGCCTCAGCCTTCCAAAGTGCTGGGATTACAGGCGTGAGCCAACTTCACTTTTGATGACTTGAAAAGCATTATCATCTTCCTCTTTCAACCTTCCTTGTAGAAATAAACTTGCTCCTATAAGGTGCCCAACCTGTGCTGAAATCATCCACTCACACATGCAACAATCACTAGTTTTGGAAGATCTTAGTTCAAATTAACTGGACATCAATGAACTTGGCTGTATCTTTTTATTAAAAAAAAAAAGAAAAGAAAAAGCCTCAAATATTAAGAATCAAGTTGACAGCAGATGTTTAACATAAATCTAGTTATTTTTCTTTCCCTTTCTCTCAACTCTTCCACTATTAGAATGGAACATTATCAGATTGTAAACAGGCAGGGAAGGGTAGGGGGAGAAATTAATTATTTAGTGAGTTTATACTTATACAATATTTATATGCATATAGCTTACTTCTGAATAATCTCTGAAACTCCTCTCATACCTTTAGCTGCATAGCTCAGAACTAGAGACTAAATTCTAAGAAGGGTTTGCTGAAAGATGAAGTAAAAGTCACATTATCATATAGTTCCTAAACATGCAAATTCTTAGATCCCTGAATTAGTTTGCTCCCATGAACTCCTTTCAGTCCCGTTACCTATTCACTCACGTGGCATTTACAGTCTACTACTATCCCTAAGTAAGAACTACTCATGTGATATACCTGTCTCCCAGAAAATGAAAACAAAACAAATTATAAAATCTAAAATCGTCTAATATAGCCCACTGGAAAAAGGACAAGAATACTTAACTTTCCCTATCCCAAATTATTCCACTAGTATGCTACCAGGCACACCTGAGGGGCACGTTGTGTCCCATATGAGTATCCGTCTGAGTTCCGAGTGCCACCTGTCCCACCACTTTTGTGGCTGAGTGTGCTTTTTCTTCCATTAGCATTCAACACACACATTCATCGCCCAAGTGTTAAAAGTAATTTCTTTGCCCAGGCCATTTTTAAAAAGTGGAATGTATGTAAAGTGGGCCACATTTTATACAGAAACAACTGTGAGGAAAATCAATCAAGAAATATGAAGGTACTCATTTACTTAATGAGTCTGATCTGAGAAACAGCATAAGACGATTATAAAATAGAATGTTTTGCTAAAATTGGTACTAGAATCCATTTAAACAGTGTCACAAGTCGTTCAAGGCAATGAGAAAGCTGACTATTTACTTAATCATTTGTAACAAGGCCAAAAAGACATTTATTTGTCTTATAAAGTCCATTCAACAAAAATGCATTTAGTGCTTACCTAACATAAGACAATATACTCTGTGTCAGGGATATAGACGTAAACAATACACATCCCCAAACACAAAGAGTTCAGGTTGATAAAGCCAGAGGGTCTTTTTCAAGCGTTTAACAGCATACAACTTTCCTTCCTACCAGTGATTTTTTTTTTGTACTAACATACAAATATTCTAGAAGAATACTAATATTTAAAAAAAGAAATTGAACTGTTTTCAGATCAAGGTTACTTCACAATCCGTTAGGAAATAACATTTGATTTAATCAGCTGTAGTTTTCAATTGAGTGACATAAATGCTGTTTCTTACTCAAGTACATTACATGAATCATGAATATGCATTTATTAACCAATTCCATAGTATTGAAAGCAGCTCTGGTTTAAATCACGATTTTAATTTTTTTTAAAGCAGCAGGAGCAGATCCAACTCCTTACAGTTTTTTTAACCAAAACATTAAATAGAATTCTGACATACTGAAAAGATTGAAAGCTTGGGCTCTGCCTTCTGAAACAAAAGTGAAGAGACCACGACCTCCCTTTCAAGTTCCCCAGTGACCTCTGAGCAGTCTCTTAAGAATTCTTAGACGCTGACAAATAGAGCATGAAAACCCCAATGCCAAACCCAACTGAAAATCAGGATATGAATATCCTTCCAGGAGTTCTCCAGGTTCCAGAAATAGGTGGGACTCTGCCCGCAGGTGTCAGGAATCATTAGGGACAGCTGCAGGAGGCAGAGAACTCACAGCCTCTCTTCCAAACAGAACAGAACAACAACAAAAAAAAAATCTGTTTTCCAACCCAAACTCAAGTCACACATTTATTACCAGGAACTCCAAAAGACCACACACAAAAGGGTGTAAAAAACAATGTATACACATTTTAAGAAAGGAAAAAACTGTTAAAATTGCAATACTCAATAAGACGAATACAAGTCATGTTTGACTTCTGCAATTACAAGAGGTGTTCAAAGTGATTACCATCAGCATCCAGGCATTTCTTTTTTTCTCCCTCTTTTTAAATTTTATTTGAAAGATGTGGGGTACAATTCAGAATTAGGTACATAAGTGGTCACTGAACAGGTGAAGTTTGAGCCTCCCACTAGTCCTCACAACGCCTGGTTTGGGATCAGGTAGCCTTTTTGATATTCTGTACACCCCACCAGCTACCACTGCCTGCAAACTTTTCTTAACATTTCTTAAAAGGTGTTCACCACTTTTTTTGGCATCCCCAGTATTCTGTATATGCATAGATGCATTTACAGTCTTCACAAGTAACACCATTAAATCACATTTGAACTGTAAATACTATATATTAAATACAAAAATTGTGATGTCTTAATTTTGTCAAGATTTAAAGGCATTTGACTCTGTGTTTTGAATCAAGCACTTTTTTTCTCAAGTTCATAGTAATAGTCAAGTCACTTATGAAAAGAATTTACCTCACCTTCCATCTGGGTTTACAGTCTTTAGGCCTCCAGTGACCTCCCGGCTCAATATCTAAATCCTTGGAGAAGAGCTGATGAATTTCATCAAAACTGACTTCGCTTACATTGACATTGAGGAATCCCCCTATAAGTTAAAAATGTGAAGAATTGTTTTAATTTTGTTGTTGTTGGCCTCAAAGACCCAAGTAGGACAAATGACAATCAACAGGGTGATGGCAAAACTTAGTTCCAAGGACGGGATGATTTATCCTGCTATCACTATATCCATAGCAGCTCTCTCACATTTAGTTTCGATGATAAATTGTATGGTCACCATACTACGTTTGATAAAACAGCCAAAGAAAATCAAATTATTTTTCTTAAACGTTTTGCTTCTGAGCAATCTACTGAATATTTTTAAATTCTTTGGAAAATGTTTGCATGTCATTACAACTTAGCATGTCATTGCAATTTAACAACTATTTGAATATTTTAAAACTGCACTTAATTTCAACACATTCAGCATAGAGGGCATGATGACACAGTACTTAAGAGTTAAATAAGCAGCTGGATTGACCAGGAGCTAAATCCTAGCTTCTGTCTACTACCGGGAAAATTATCTAACCTCTTTGTGCCTCTATAAGTAAGACAGTGATGCCTGCCTCCCAAGGCGGATGTATCCATTAGATGAAATCACCTGTGTGAAGGATCAAGTGCTGTGCCAGGTAATAGGCACACCCAACCAATGCTAGCTACAATCACTCCATCTACTTACATTTCTTAAGAGAGGGAGTTTGCATACACAATTCAATGCATTTATTTTGAGCACTTACTATGCACCGGGCCCCTTGGTATACAAAGCTGAAAAACGATGAACTTCTAAGATGCTCCTGCTCTAACAGGGTACTCACTCTCCAAGTCAACAAATACACAATATTACTGGAGGGTTTTACTAATGGTTATTCTGATGTATACCACTGAAATAGGAATACATCTTAGATGGAAAACCACTTCTATCAATCCAGTCAAAAACAGAACTAAGAATCAAGAAGTCTCTGGGTCTTCATCTGAGAATTAAAATAGGTGCGTGATCACTAACATTCCTTCAAAGTGATGCTACCCTCAATACTTTCAATGTCACTGAGAGCAGTATACAAAAGGCTAGTGGAATAAACTACAGAATAGCTTTTAGCAGTTTCAATGTCACCTGTTAACTTCCAAACAGGTACAAACTGCTCTAGAGAGTAACTCCGGTCAAACTTTTCTCTTCAGCCTCCTCATCTCAAAACACAAACCAACAAATATTAAGATTTCCCATTTCAAGTCTTCTGAGCCTCCTGTGGCCATGATTTCTCATAAAAACACTCATTCCCAGCCAGGCATGGAGGCTCAGGCCTGTCATCCCAGCACTTTAGGAGGTTAAGGCAGGAGGAACACTTGAGCCAGGAGATCAAGTCCAGCCTGGACAACACAGTGAGACGTCATCTCTATAACAAAGATCAAAAAATTAGCTGGGTGTGGTGACACACACCTGTAGTCCCAGCTAGTCAGGAGGCTGAGGCAGGAGAATCACTTGTGCCATAAGGTTGAGGCTGCAATGAGTCGTGACTGTGCCACTGCACTCCAGCCTAGGCAACAGAGTGAGACCTTGACTCAAAACCAAACAAACAAAACAAACAAACCCACTCATTTCCTCTCCAGAGGGCCTCTTTCCTCCCACCAGTCTATAAGATTTTCACAGCAACATCTCTTCCCATCCCATAGTGACTCTGCAGAAACTGTCAGCAGCCTCTACTCAGCACTGAGGTATGCTAGAGAGAAGTATTTGAAATGCAAATGCCTATGTTTCCCAGTAAGCTCAGAAAAAAATTCACAATCTTCAAATGTCTGCCTGTTCTACTGACAATATTTGTGGTCTTTTATAACCAAACCCCCACCCTTGAGTGTGACCAGATATGCAAACTAGCTCATCTTAGAAAAGTCCAATTTACCTAAAGGAAAGAGAAATCTATGAACTAGCCGAGAAAGGGTAAGTCAAACGTAAGACTGATCTGGCAACAGAAGTATAGACTATCATGACTCAGCTGACAAAAACAGAAGCTAGCACTGTAATCAAATAAGATGCACACAAATAAATCTGATGCATTTAACAGTATGCACGATTGCTAAAATGATAGTAATTAGGCTAAATAATAAGCAGTTCATATAAGTAACTGAAGTTGGTATTCTTTATACACTGTTCAACCACATTTTTTGTCTTTTCTCCAGCTTTATTGCTTCAACAGCTATAATCATCATTATTGTCAGCAGTTTTCTCCAGCATCATTTGCAGTTTAATTTTCATCTCCAACGCATTTGCGCTGGCGAGATACAGGCCCTGTATCCACCTCCTAGATGGGGAGGGCTTCCTGTGTCCCCAGCGATCCCCATGTCCAAGGCACCATGAGTCTGCCTTCTTCCTGACTGCCTCCTCTGCCCACACCCCCGGGAGTCCGTTGGCAGCTTTCCTACCTGCCTGTTGCTCTTGGCTCTGAAATTCTAATGCTTTGCTGGCCAAAGGCCAAAGATGACCCAGTGGTGTGAGGCTGTCCTATCAAGAGTAACAGCAATGTCACTGTACTGAAGCTGGGGGGGGGGGAAATAGCATTGTCACCATTGGGAACAGTGAAGGTGTAATCAGAGAGAGAGAAAGGAGAAAGAATAAACACTAATTATTGGGGGTCAGGAGTGGTATTAGGGAAATGATTCCTGCCCATGGGAAGGGAAGGGAAAGGGACATCTCAGAGAAAGGATGGCCAGGAGGACACACTCCACAGACGAGCTGGTGGTGATATGGTTTCCAAACTGTACTCAGGAAGGAACCTCTCTCAGGAAGCCTGTGGTTGGGGGAGAGAAGACCGGGGGTGCCCCAATATGGCTACTTTGATCTCTTTTATGTACTGGTGTTCCCTTCAGGTTTCATTCATGAAAGTGTGCCAATGCTTTCAGAAAGCATTGGGAAACCAACTACTATGAATGAAGTCAAAACAGCAAACATCTTTCTTTACTTGTAAAGAAGCGATCACGGCCAGCACGGTAGCTCACGTCCATAATCCTAGCACTGTGGGATGCTGAGGCGGGAGGACTGCCTGAGTCTAAGAGTTTAAGATCAGCCTGGGCAACATGGCAAGATCTTGCCTCTGCAATAAATCAAAAATTAGCTGGGCATGGTGGCGTGGCTGTTGTCTCAGCTACTTGGAAGTCTGAGGCAGAAGAATCACCTGAGCCCAGCAGACAAGGCTGCAGTGGCTATGATGGTGCCACTACACTCCAGCCTGGGTGTAGTAGACAGGCAGAACCTTTACTTCATGTGCTAAGATTTCAAGGGCAAGTGAAGAAAAAGGATTCACTGGGCTTCACAGAGGATACCCAACCTTCATTCTCTGCCTGTGCTAAATCTGAGATTTTCAACTGAAAGCAAGTGCTTTGAGATTGAGATTTAAAGGTCAAAAAACAACACACTGACAAATCCATTTAGCCGGTAGTATAATCACAATCAGCAAAGACGTGTAAATAATATAATTTACCAGCCAGGCTCAGTGGCTCAGCCTGTAATCCCGCGCCTTGGGAGGCTGAGGTGAGTGGATTGCCTGAGCCCGCGGGTTCAAGACCCGCCTGGGCAACTTGGCGAAACCTCATCTCTACAATAAATCAAAAAATTAGCTGGGCGTGGTAGCGCGCGCCTGTAGTTCCAGCTACTTGGAAGGCCGAGGCGGAAGGACCGCCAGAGCCCAGCAGGTCGAGGCTGCGGTGGCCAGGAGCGGCCACTGCACTCCAGTCTGGGCAATGGAGTGAGACTCCAACTCAAAAAAAAAAATAATAATAATAATAATATAATTTACCAAACACTGATCTTCACTATTTAGAAGGTGAGGCTGGAGTTAGAAAGAGCTGGAGAACTGGGCACCTGGAGAGAGGAGGGACCACTAAGGACCTACAGGGTCAAGGTGAAGAGCAGGGAATTCAAGTCAGCTGTGAGCTACCGTTCAGTCTCCTGTGCCAAACTGCTTCTGTCATGTGTGAGAGCAACTTAGTTGCACCATTGGTTATGTAGGACATTTACTATAATTTCCTAAGGCTAAATTTGCAAGTTAGGCAACAATACCTCCCACGTGGAGAAGTTGGAACTGAACGGGTTAGGGTCTGTCAGGCATGTATGTCAGGCATGTGATTCAAAAAACTATATGTTCTGCTAAAATATAATTCTTAAAATAGCAAATACTCAATACAGATCAGTTACCTATATTTACACCTTTCTTACATTTCAAGTAAAATTTAAGGCATACAATCTCCAGGCAGAGAGTTGTTTTCTTTATTAATCAGCAGTTTTAAATGACTACTTCACTTAGTCTAGAGCCTATATATATACATTTGTTGGTATCTATAGCCTAATTCTGGATACTTTGGCTTTTGTCTCATCTTACCCTCAGGATTTTAAATGTGCAGAACTCAAAGGCTCTGATGATAATGTCAGAGAAAGACCTGAACTTCCCCCTAGAAATGTCCCTTAGGGTGAATTCCTCTCCAAAGCCAGAAAATAATTTTTTGATAAGATGAGACAGTCCCTCCTCTTACCCTCTCCGTTGCCTCCTGAGTACAGCTCTGAGGCTGAACTGAGTCATCCAGCCATCGGTCATCTCTTTCCTTTCTAATCCCTTTGAAGCCAATGACAGACACTGCCTATTTCACATGCTTTACTTAAGCTTGTCAATTTCTAGAATTTTATAACTTCTTAACAAACGATTTCTCACTCAACAATTCTTGAGGTGACCAAACCTGAGCATTTTAAACATAAGACAGAGTGTTAGTCACACATCCCCAATGCCAAGTGCAATGCCCAGAAACAGGATGAATGAATGAATGAATCAGTAGGAAGACTCCTGTCTCACCCTGCTTCCTCCACCTGTATTTTCACTCCCTGGCTCCATCAGGTGCTAAAACGTGTCTTTGGACATTTGTGCAAAAGGTGCCCAACATGTAGATGGCCCAAAACAACAGTGCCCTGGACAGCCCAGTTCTCGTCTCCTAATCTGACCATTGTATACAGTTCTCAACCCCTGTTTTCCTCCATTGCTTACGGTTCTCTCTTGCTTTACTGAATGACTA